GGAGAGAAGATAGTCAGCCGTTAAGTATTGCAATAAAACTGTCACCATGCACGGGTATTACTCGTGCGTCGGATTATTGGTCGTTTTTTACTCATCACATGAAATTGCAGGGGTGGGGAGGTGTTGCTCAGCTTTCAAGGACTCGAGATATACTCTCATTTTGGCCCCAGTGTGTGGGTAGCCATCGGACATATGCTTGTTCTCATACACATCATCGTATTACACAGTGGAAAGAGTGACTTGCACGCATTGTTCTCCCTTCGCCGTTCATCGTCAAGCACACTCACGGGTAAAGTGGGACGAGCGAAGTAAAATGCTTTCGTTTTTATTTGTTATTATAGTGAAGTTTTTGAAGACTGTATTGCTTTAATACACATTTTTAGTATTATATTGTGTTTGATCCACTTTCTTAGTTTGGTTGTTTTTGTTTTAATTGCATTTTAAAGATGGAGATGAATAAAAGGGAAAGGTGTAATGTTTAGTTTGAGTATTTGAGTTGGAGAAGGTATTATGTATTTTTAAAAAGGATGATATTTAACATATCCAAAATATGGTGTTTTTAACAGTGAAAATGGCGTGTTGTGTGAAAAATGCCTCTTCTGTCTCGTGGTATGTTTTTTTTTTTTTCTTTTCTGTTTCTAAGTGCACATGAGTGCATTATTTACGCGACTGTTCTGCTAATGTAGGAAAAGGTGCTTGACGCGACAAGACAATAGTTTTATGCTCGTAGGAGATATAACCACGTACAAGACCACTAGCGATTAGTTTAGCCGTCCACCAAGTCATCTGATCATCTGTCATAACATTTTCATCCTCAATGATATCATCTCCCCGTTGCCGTTTTTGTGTTTTCTGTTTTAATGGTGTCTTTTCCTTTTCGGTACTCTTTCCCTCCTGCAGAATGTGGGTATAGGCGGCTGTGAGAACTGAGAGAGGAATACGACTATTATCAACGCCAGTGCAGGCGCCCAGTGCGATGTGGGTGCGTGCGAGAAGAACGAGAAAGCAATACAGTTTAGCCCGCTGCAGTAAAAAGTACACCCCACGTCTACGGAGAAGTGTGCTGAATGTCTCTACGGCGTGTGTAAAGGCGTGTGGATCCCCACGAGCGGCTGCATTGAGCATAGGTGTAAAGACATAATCAATGAGATCATCCCGTTGTAAAATCTCCTGCGGCACCACCTTTCCATCGGCGATACCCGCAACGGTGAGATAGAAGCGTACACGTTGTTTATTCCGCTGTTGGATTTCTGTTCCCTCGCCTGGTGGTGGGAGAAGATGATATGCCTCTCGTAGGGCCTCATGTGCTTCTTTAAATCGGCGATCATACAACATAATACGTCCCTTATAGTAATAGAATGTTATCATCTCCGCCGTCATGTGCTGCGCCGGGCGTAGAATAGATTTACTTCCATCATTGCCAGTACCCACATTGCGTTCATTCTGTTCTACGGCGTTAAAGAGCACACGGCATTGATGAGTGTTGTAGCGATGAAAGAGAATACTTAATAAACCATTACACACCGCAAGTGCCCCACGACGACGGGAGTGTTCTGGTGGTTCATGTGGATCGGCTACTTGTAAGGCTTGCAACAACTTACGCCAACTGCGCACAATCTGACCAGTGGCTTCATCAATCACACTCTCACTGGCATCTCGTGCAATGCGTGGAATACGGTGAACAAAGTGCAATAACAACAATGTATCCCAGCCAACAGTGCCAACAGTACTTCCACCGCGGCGGTGTGTTGGGTAGTGACCGCGACGCATAGTGTGTACTTCCTGAAATACTTCAAATGCATATAGAAGACCACGTGCAAGCGTATCTGCATACCGTTGGGAAGGCTTACTATTGTTGTCATTACTGTTCTTGTTGTTCTCCTCTCCATTACTGTTGCTGTTGTTGTTGTCGTTGTTGATATTAGATTTCATGCGGTGGTAGTTTGCGAGTACCCCGGTAATAGCCACCCGCACCATCACCTCCACATATAATTGACGTTCCTTTACATCTTCTGTGTGTTCACTGCGTGACTCCCGTCGGCTGCTGTGTGTTTGTTCCACCCGCTCTGTAAGTGCTTGATGCAGTTGATGTACGGCTGTCTGAATGTGTGTTAACTCCTCAGCTGTTGGGACTTCTGCTGCTCCACCATCTTCTGCAAGCGCAACGCAGTCGGTTAATAACACACCGTTGCGTGTGGCAATAGCATCAGCTGTGTGTTGCAGCCACACTGTTGATATACGCAATACACCATGCGGCTCTGACTTGCGGCTTTCCCACCGCATTCCCAAATGTAGGCTAATTAAATATATATATATATATATATATATATATATATATATA